ATCCATCAATCTGCCTATACTGAGAAAATCTTGAAACGATTTTACATGGACAAAGCACATCCATTAAGTACTCCAATGGTTGTCCGATCACTTGAGGTGAGTAAAGATCCATTCCGACCTCAAGAAGAGAATGAGGAACCTCTTGGTCCTGAAGTACCTTATCTTAGTGCAATTGGCGCACTTATGTATCTTGCTAATGCTACAAGACCTGACATAACATTTTTTGTTAATTTATTAGCAAGATATAGTTCTTCCCCTACATGAAGACATTGGAATGGAGTTAAACATATATTGCGATATCTAAAGGGGACGAGTAATATGGGTTTATTTTATACTAACAAAGATAGTGCAGAACTTGTTGGTCATGCAGGTTATTTATCTGACCCAGATAAAGCTCGATCTCAAACAGGCTATCTGTTCACATACGGAGGTACTGCTATATCATGGCGATCTACGAAGCAGTCCATTGTCGCTACTTCTTCAAATCATGCTGAGATAATAGCCATTCATGAAGCAAGTAGAGAATGTGTATGGTTGAGATCAGTGATACATTTCATCAAAGAAAGATGTGGTTTGAAGTATGATGTCAAGGTACCCACAGTGCTCTTTGAAGACAATGCTGCATGCATAGCTCAATTAAGAGAAGGCTTCATAAAAGGAGATAGAACGAAACACATTTCACCAAAATTATTCTTTCACACATGATCTCCAGAAGAATGGTGATATTGATGTACAACAAATCCGTTCAAGTGATAATCCAGCAGATTTATTCACCAAATCTTTACCAGCCTCAACTCTTGAGAAGATGGTACACAAAATTGGAATGCGAAGACTTCACAATATAAATCGTGGTCTTCATCAGGGGGAGTAGAATACTCGTTGTACTCTTTTTTCCTTAGTCTAGATTTTGTCCCATTGGGTTTTCCTAGCAAGGTTTTTAATGAGGCAACAAACAAATGCGTATTTAAAGATATATGTACTCATTTTCCTTCCCTAAAAGGTTCTTTAATTAGGCATAGACATCCAAGGGGGAGTGTTGTGAACATATGGATGTCTCAACGTGGCTTATGGATAGTACGTGTATGGCAAGATTAAAAGTGTGACTTTTGTGTGCACCTTGTGTCAAGAGATGGATGGCTTGTGTCTGCCATCCACTACCTCATGCACATTGCCTATAAAAGGGCTTTGCACTTCATTTTGAAGAATAGAACGAATGAAGGAATAAATACAGTACATTACTTTTTCTATTGTTCTTCTTTTAGTGTATTAATTTTAGTTAGTTATTTTATAACACGTTATCAGCACGAGTCTCTGCCAGTTCAAGTAAAGACTTTAAAAGCCTCGAAGGTATAAATTTTTCTTTCTTAAATAATGTCAAATCTTTCTAAACTTGAATTTCTTGCTTTAGACATATCGGGAAAAGGCTATTTATCATGGGTACTTGATGTAGAAATTCATCTTGATGCGATGGGTCTGGCAGACACCATCCAAGAAAAAAATCAAACATCGAATCAAAATTGTGCTAAGGCAATGATATTTCTCCGTCATCACCTTGATGAGAGTTTAAAAATGGAATATCTCACTGTTAAAGATCCTCTGGTGTTGTGGACTAATTTAAAAGATAGATATGACCACCTGAGGTTGGTCGTCCTTCCACAGAGAAAACATTTTCCACTTTCCCTGCCTCGAGTATGCTCCTACAGCAGTAATACCGAGAAATGGGATTTAAAAAATATTCAGAATTAATTTCACATCTCCTTGTTGCTAAACAACATAATGACTTACTGATGAAAAACCATGAAAGTCGACCTGCTAGTTCTATGCCATTTCCTGAAGTAAATACGGCAAATTTTCACCAATCTAAGCGCGGAAAAGGTCATGGCCCCAGTCGTGGCCGTGGCCGTGGTCGAGGAAGAAATTTCAATCATGGTGATCGTCTTGCACTAAATAATAACCTTCACCACCAGCAGTGTAAAAAGAAGGATGAAAAGCATGAAGTGGTGCAGAAGAAAAATTCAGACAACAAATGTTATCGTTGTGGTGGAAAAGGGCATTGGTCACGTACCTGTCGTACACCAAGGCACCTGGTTGAGCTATATCAAGCTTCCCTGAAGGAAGTGAAAAATAACGCAGAAGCCAACTTTATCTCTGAAGATAATGTTGAACCCATGCATCTAGATATAGGAGATTTCTTTGAGAATCCCGAAGGAAAAATAGATCACCTGATAGGTGATGGGTCTGTAATAATGTAAATATATTTTACTTCTGTCGTTTGTATGAACTAGTATGAATATGTTTTCCTAGTCTTGTAAATAAATAAAAGGTTGTGTAATGTTTTCTTTTAGTAATAATATTATAATGTTTACTTCGTTTATATCTTTTATCTTGAAGAGTATATGTATACCTCTCAAATTTTGTTTGGATCAATGATCAATCATGAAGATATTTGTGTAATTGATAGTGGAACAACGCACACTATATTCAAAAATGAGAAATACTTCTCTTACTTGCTTAGAAGAAAAGCAAATGTTACTACAATTTCTGGTAATTCGAACTTAATAGAAGACTCCGGAAGAACTACAATTTCTGGTAATTTGAATTTAATAGAAGGCTCCTGAAGAGCTACTATATTTCTGCCTAAGGGGACAAAACTTGTTATAGAAGATGCATTGTTCTCTTCTAAATCCCCAAGAAACCTGTTAAGTTTTAAAGATATTCGCCGAAATGGATATCATGTTGAGACAATAAATGAAATGAATGTTGAGTACCTTGGTATTACCAAGATTGTCTCAGACCAGAAATATGTGTTAGAGAAATTATCAACTTTATCTTCTGGCTTATATTATGCAAAAATAAGTACAATTGAAGCACCCTCTATCGTAAACTAGAAGTTTACTGACTTAAAAACTTTTGTGCTTTGGCATTACCGAATAGGTCATCCTGGATCAATAATGATGAGACGAATCATTGAAAACTCAAATGGACATCCATTAAAGAACCTGAAGATTCTTACAAATGATAAGTTTTCATGTGCTGCTTGTTGTCAAGGCAAATTGATTACTAGGCCATCACCAATGAAAGTTATCATTGAATCCCCTCAATTTTTAGAACGTATACATGGGGGTATTTGTGGACATATTCACCCATCTAGTGGGTTGTTTAGATATTTTATGGTCCTAATAGATGCGTCTTCA